GGGGGGGGGGGGGGGGGGGGGGGGGGGGGGGGGTAAGTGGCGGCTGGCCAGTATGGGGATCTGAACACTTGACCTTGGTGGTATAACACTGCACATTAACCATTTGAGCGAAAATGATATTTTTGAGGTCTTCAAAGTCCCTTTTTTGAAAATGAATGTGTAAAAAAAAAAAATTATAATTTATAGCAGGGGTTTATTACTTGCTGATTTGTTTAAAGCTGGAACAGTGATTTGAACCAGTTCTGTGACAAGAAACGACATCTAAGTCTCCAGACCACTTTATAGTCTGAGCACCTTCAGGACACTTACACTGAATTGCCTTAAACTGCTTTATTCTCCCACAGAACTTGTTAGGGAATGAGATGTCTCATTGGTACTCAATAAATTTCTTTGGAGGTTTATTTTTTCCCCTTTTAAGCAGGACCTTAAGTACTCAATAAATGTACTTGTTTTTGTTTTTCTTATAGATCTCCTGTTCCCTATTGACATTACGTTGGTCAAGAGAGAGCATGATTTTTTGGACAGAGATGCCATTGAGGCTCTATGCAGGTAAATGGACGTGTCTTGAGTGTTTTCATCTTCTTTTCTTTTTTTAAGAACACAGTACTTGTCACAAAGATAGCTTTTTGTTTGCTTTTGTTCTACCTAATTATGTCAGGTCTTTGATTAGCAAATAGTGTGATTTACTTCACTATAGATCATAGGCCTTTTAACTTAAGCAAAATTTTGTTATTTAGTGTCACCATTAAAATAGCATCCACACTGTCCTAGGAGGTCCTCCAACAGCGTCGTTTCATATTTGATACTATATGATTGCTGAAACAGGTAACGTTCAGGTGGTTTGAAAACTTGGGGTAAGGTTTTTAAAAAGGTGACACAATCGACTGCACAGTCCAAAGCAGGTCCCCTCACTGAGCCAAAGCTGCTGTCGCACTGAATGGGGGTAGCGTATTCAGAGGGATAAGTGGGGTTGGGGGTTATGGCGTATTAGAGACAGAACCGTCACTTGAATTCCAGGAACACTTCTCTGAACCTCTTCAGTTTCCCCAGGTATAAAATAGTAACGATGGGATTAAGTAAAGCTATAAAATAACTCAACACAGGCTTTCATATATAGGATACAGGCAGTAAATGAGCATCGATGTGAAATACGAATAAAACTGTCAGGAGTCCCCATTCCCTGCACTGGCAGATCTTCAGGCTGAGGAGCAGCTTGTAGGTTTTATTGAAGCAGAAGTGAGAAAACCTGTAGCAGGTGACGGTAGGACACGGATAATCCTTTCACACTCTTCATGACATTTTTATTTATTTGAAGTTATTCATCCTTTGTGATTTTTCCCAAACCTAAAAGCCCTAAAAGCTGAGTTCTGGAAAAAATATTATACACAGACAAAATTCATATAACTTGATTTGATTGTAAAACTAAAATAAATTTTCTTTTAATGGCAATATTTATTTTAACTTGGAAAAAAATATCATTAAGGTGGAATGGAAAAAAACGTCATTAAAGTGGAATGACTTCCGCTATTTTTTGCCTTTCTTATGTAATACAGTGTTGTGTGAAGCAGCCAATTTAAGCAGAGGTTTTGGAGAAAGATAGATAAGATGTTTAGAATGATGATGGAAATGACTCATTCTCATGGTTTAAGGGGAGGAAAAAAGGTCAAATTAACCACAGAAATAGTGTCACTTTTCAAGTCCAACTAAATGACTGCTTAGAAATATCCAAGTTATGTACACATTTTCTGAAAGAAGACTGATTCCAAGTCCTGCACTGTGGTGTGTAACATCACAGCTGTGTCATCTGGAATGAAAAAATGTCACTAATGCAGTTTTGGGAGAGGAAGAAGTCAGCATCTGAAATATGAACTACTTCAGACATTTTTTAAATGTTTTAATGCTTAGCTGTGGGGCAGAATTAATTTCTTTTCAGTTTGTCACTGGTGATAATGCATATGAATGAGGTCACTCTTAAAATGCGTCTTAGGAGATATTTCAGCATTGATCAGATCAGCCATTTCACACATTTTAAGCTACTTAGGGAAGGAGTGGGCCCTCTGGGCAGCAGCAAGAGCTTCGGAATTCCTGGGTCATAAAAATATCACTGTAGCATTTCAGCCTGAAGGATCATGATTAAATTCTTAATTTTTTTTTTCCGGGATATCAGTTTGAAGTTTAGTTTTCCTTTTCTGAAGGGAAAGGCATCCTCTGCATTTTGTGATTTTCGCTGGTTCTGAGTATGGTTGGAGGAGCCCTCTCCCTTTCAAGAGAATGCGGCTGTGCTCCTAGATCTTTTGTGGAAAGAAAAGCCTAGAAGAAACTGGACCTCAATCTGTATTCAGGCTCTGCAGCGTATTCTGGCCAGGCTTCAGTTTTCTCTTATACGTGGAATAACATCTCACAGGTTAGCTGCGACAAGAAAATGCAGATGACAGATGCCACAGTGCTTTAAAAATTAAATTACGAGGCCCAAATTTGAGCATGTTCAGAAAGCCTTGGGGTTGGGTTTTCTTTTTAAAAAAGAAATTCTTCAGAATTCACAGTAACAGTCATCACCTCGTTTGTAAGGTGAAACCCAAGGGCTCTTTTCCACATGTTCACCTGACTAGGCTTTTTCTGGAATTGATTCCCCTTTTGAGAGGCTGAAACGAATGTTCAGAATAAAAAGATGGGAGCCATGTCCAGTGTATTTGAAGCACCTTCCTCTGAAATGCATTACAAGTTCTGAGCTGTCAGCAGCGTAGTTGGATACTTGTTGTACTGATTATGTGATATTCCTCTCTGTTGCTAGATCTAATACCTTCACAGCCTATGGAATTCAAGGGCCTGCTGAAAATGAAGCTATAACGTTGTTTACAAATTTGCCTTGCGATTTGTGAAGTTCTGTCTAGACTGACAGACTTTTAGTAGACTTTCATCTTTTGTCTTGTTGAAATATTTTGAACAGTTCATTTTAAATCTATGCGGCACTGTAGTTACAGAAACTTAGTTTAAAAGTTTTTCAAGATCTTACATGGTTTCTCTTCCCCACTGCTCCAAGCCCCTTGTGTTAGACCATATTTTATGCGGGGATGTTACAAGTGATCCCATGTATACATTAGCATTCTGCTTAGTTAAAAATAGTTATGCACTTATAACATTTGTAGAACTTATAGCTTCTTTGATCGAAAAGCTGGTAGGAGGTCATCTGTTTTAACATTTTGTACTTAAAGCAGAAAACTTGTAGACTTAGTTCTTTTTTTGAGAATGATGGTAATATTGTCTTACATGTAAAGTTTGGTAATGATGAAAACTTACAATGATAGCACTCCTAGGTTTTCTGGATTTTGATTGCTAACTGACATTCTTACACTCACACTGTAAGAAGTTTATGAACTTGTTTCCTTGAAGAGATTGGCTTTTATCCCAGACTTGCTAGCTCTGCTGTATAATCCAACCACAATGAGAAGGCCAAAATTATGAGAGTTATACTCAGTATTAACACTGGATGAATGATTAGCTTTTCTTGAAACATATATAGATAGTATTGCGAATTGTGATCTTTTACTAGGATACCTCTTGTGAGATGTTCTTTGTCTTCCTGTAGTTTCTGAAAAATTGCTATTTTCTTTTGGAATTAAAACTGACTCCTCCTGTAAACACACCGAAGATTTATATAAACCAAATGTTAATCATGTAATGAAAAATAGATCCCCACACCATCATCTTCAGTGTGCACTTTATTGTAAAACAGAAATACCTACGCTATGTAAAGCATTCTACTTGATAGATTTTAACTTTGTTATGATTTCTTTTCTACTAAAAGGGAAGCAAATAATTTTTAAAAGCAATTGTGCTAATTCCTAGAAAATATCATTAAGAATTGGAACAATCTTTATTTGTCAGGTCTTACTTGGAAAATTGTTCCTTTTTCCTTTCTTTCTCTTCTACTTCTCCTGGTTTTTATTTTGAATATGATGAAGCCCGCTGTGCTTTAATCGGTGTGCTCAAAGGAGCTCCGTGCAGCCAAGCTCCTGCACCTCTGAGAGCCCACTGTGTGCCTCCCTCTTCAGAGCAGGGTACAGGTTCCCCAGGAGATGAGATCAACACGTTCCTGTGAAGCTGAGCCCTGGGGGGTGGGAATGACCAAGGCTTCTGGACAGAAGGTTTAGGATGAAGAATCATATAGGGATATAAGTTGCTTCCAGAAGAGACTGTTTGAGCACCAGAGCCACCATGGTTTAACAGTGTGGCCTTGGGCAAGATTTGTGACTTCTGTAAGCCCCCATTTCCGCATCTATACAGTGAAGGTCGGTGGTAATATCTGTACCATGGGGTTGTTGTGAGAATGAAGATGAGATCATACGTGGAAGAGCCTAGCACAGAGCCTGACCCGGAGTCAGCCGCAGTCTGTCTAGATAGAACTATTATTTAATGTCAGTACTGTCTCTCTGTAAGTACATAAAGTCCCACCGGTAGGCATTCTTTGGAGGTCCTAGGGGGCAAATGAATCCTACAGAAACCCCAGGGATTGCTCTGAGTTTCAGGATGGTAATGCCATTAGCTTGGGGCTACCAACATAAAAAGATGTTGACCTTTATAAAAATGGCCTCCTGGGTCTTTTTCGTTTGACTCAAGCTTAGAGTTTGTGAAGCAAACCCCTCCCCCACCCCCATTGGCCTCCATGCCTAGTAAACTTGATTATAAACACCACTCAACCATTAAAGCCCAAATGAAGTCCAGTACAGATTTGATTACAGGTTTGATTAATGAAACCCAGACCTAAGACTAACTGTAACCATTCCGGATTCTTTTAATCTCAAAAACGTTTGAGAGCTAAAACACGGTGGGTGTAAGTCATTTAAGTAATTGATGCCCCTTAGAGAGGGACCTCAGATTCACTCATTTTAAAGTCTGCAGACTTTTTCTTAGCTGTTTGTTCTCTTTCCCTCCCAGTCAACAGAATTTTTCTGAACATAGGTGTTCTGCGTTATCTTTGTTTACTCTAAACAGGCTGCTGCATAATCTGTGAAATCAAAGCAGGCTTATCAGGCAGGCAGAAAAACTGCAAGAACAGGATCAGGAAGATAGAACCTTGAGGAGTCTCATGGTCAGTTTGCATTTGTGTGAATTAAATGCATTTATCCTATGAAAATGTAAGAATTGCAGTTTCAGGAAAAACTGGAAAACTGGTGGGAGAGCCATGATAGGAGACAACAAACAGTCACACTGAAGGGTCATCGGAGGAAGACTAAATGATAATCATCTGGAAGATGTCAGAAAGAATTGGGGCCTGAAGGGCTGTCACTCACACTTTTACATGCCATTTAGCTCAGCATATTTGAAGAGTTTCTTTTTTCAGCTATTTCCTTATTTCCCCATGAGGTGATTTTTTTGTTGTTGTTTTTTGTTTTTATTTTTTCTCTTAAGTATTTCTTTTTCAATGAAACTGAATTTCCTAATTTTAAATTGACTTTACTATTTGGCAGGGGTTAAAAAAAAGTATTCAAAGTTAAAATTTGACTCCTGTTTCAGGCAAGAATCTGATCTAAGTGTGTATTTTTGAACTCAGCAAGATTTTTGATCCTCGAATTTACAGTGTACACATTTTTTAAGTAATCATTTGTCGTATTGCTGTGACTATACCCAACATTATTCTGTCCTATATGGGAAAAATGATAATTCTTCCTGTATAATTATAATAATTATTTTTTTTCCTATGTAAAAAGAAATGGGTATTAAACAGGGCTTAAATTTCCTTTCGGTACAAGAACTAAAATCTTTTTTTTTTTCCCCTAAAAGATGACTGGTAAGGGAAGTCACCCTTGACTTGGCGTTGGCAACACCACGCTCACCCAAGTGAGCCAACCGGCCATCCCTATATGGGATCCGAACCCGTGGCCTTGGTGTTATCAGCAACACACTCTCCCGAGTGAGCCACAGGCTGGCCCCTACAAGAACTAAAAATCTTAAATAGACTATCCAAGATTACTTGTCAGAGATAGCTAAAGCTTGTTTTACTTCTTTTATTTAAATTTTGATTTGAGATAGAATATACTGTTTACTTTGCTAACATCTCTGCTTGCTTCCTTGTTGCTGTTTCTGTTTATATGAACGGAGACATCACAGGCTTTTACTCCTAGACACGATATGCAGCTGCCTAATGGCTCAACCTGGTGATTATTGGAAGAACATATTTCCTCACTGAGAGTTGTTTGTCCCTGAAGAATTAGAGTGCCTGACAGTGTCATAACAATGTGCCATGTCACAATAAAATAGTAAAAAATAAATTTAAATAACTTTAGAAACATAAAGGTGATTTTAAACGATTCACTTTTTAAAGAAGTTTCTAATACTCTTCTAAATTATAGATATTAATAGTTTCAGAGGAACTTATTAAATACATACATTGTTTGGGAAAAAATATTTAACCACCTATCAGTGGTTTCCTATCTTTGCTAATGTTATTTCTTTGCTCTGTAGGCGTCTAAATACTTTAAATAAATGTGCGGTGATGAAGCTAGAAATTAGTCCTCATCGGAAGAGAGTGAGTAATATAAATTGTATAATAGGTGGGAGGAAAATGGGTAAACCAGAAACCAGATTATGGGTTTTGTAATAGGTTTGTTTCTCACACTCATTTTCTCGTTCCAAAAGCATCTCCATTTTTAATGTTAGAATCCAGTCAAGTTTACCAAAGACTGAATCGCTTTATGTAGTTGAGACCAAAAGTTGCAGCCGGCCAATAGATTGTTTTACTTACTGTTTTTGACCTGAACAAATCATCTATTATTTTGCCAAATTAACTCCATGCCTACTACATAATATGACAGTGAGGAGATGAAGCTTAAGGAATCCCAGTGGATTTTGCATTGCTCCCTAGAGAAAATAGAGTTAAAGTTCTTTGGAACTCTTCTGTCTTCCCAAATATAACAGAACTGTGCTTCCAAGCTGTAGGGATGAAAGCAAATGCTGGCTTGTGGGATATTGAAGAATAATAAGAAATCTGGAGGGAGGACAGGGACAGGGCAGGAAGTCCCACGCACGTCAGTCCAGTGGAGGCGCATCACCGAGTTAGCTGGTGTTCTCGCCTGCATGTGAGCTGTGAGGACCTTTGATGAACTCTTAGAAGAAGAGCTGGGTGTAGTGCTGGGAGTGAATGTCACAAATTAGAGTAAACAGGAATAAGTTTGGTCAAAGAACATGTTTCTGACTGTTCAGAGTATAAATTTTAATTATCCTAGAGTCCTTGACCTGCAAAAAGTTGCCTTCTTGGGGAGTGAAACCTTTTAAACAAATGAACTGGAACCTCAACACCCTCCAAGCTATGCAGAAAAGTCCACAAATCAGTGTTTAATGCTCTGTACTTGCTGTCCTGTGAAACCTGGGTCATATGATACTTTCCACACCAGTGGAAAAGATCCATATCATACCGAATTGTGCCTTTTGATATCCCGCCTAAAAGGCCACGATGCAGTCAGGAGTCTGTGTGACAGCGTGTGTGACAGCATATCCCTGAGTCCTGCATGTAAATCAGACATCATCAGCAAAGATGTTACTTAGTGTTTACAAATGTTACTGAGTATTTGTGAAGCCCTGTTAAGCCGCCTGGAGCGTGACTGAGGTTGAAACTTTACAGGACAGTTGTGGCATGAGCTCTAGACCCTGTGTCTGGTGAGGGAGGGGAAGAGAAAGGACAGTTAGGAGGCTACAAAGTATTGAACCCAAAAGATGTGATGGCTTCCCTTGCTCGGTGTCTATATTGGTCTGGTAGGAGGTCCTGTAAATTTTTAGGGTGGCTAGAGATTTAAGTTACCACTCTTCTTAGTGTTTGAAAACTACCTTTTAATTGCCAAAGAGAGTATAAACACACACTATACCATCAACAGACAGCACAACTGGAGGCAGTCCAGAGGGAGTCCTACCCATTGCTGATTCCAGTTCGAAATATTTTGCATACCTGGAATTTTCACAATCTCAGAGGTTCCTCTGTGAGCAATTAAAGAACAGCCTATAGACTCCAGAGTTTCCGTAAAATAACTCTTACTTAGCTTGCAACACTTGGTCAGGCTTTCTCCTGTTAAATTCCTTAAATACATCTTTGTTATTTAAAAAAAGGAAAGGAAAAAGAGGGGAATCCTGGCCATCTGGCCTTTAGCACGTGCCCTGCTGTCTGCTGGTCCCAGCTCATAAATGAATGACTCCATTCTGTCTTTGCAGAGCGAGGATTCAGACGAGGATGAGCCTTGTGCAATAAGTGGAAAATGGACTTTCCAGAGGGACAGTAAGAGGTGGTCCCGACTTGAAGAGTTTGATGTCTTTTCTCCAAAGCAGGACCCAGTTCCTGGGTCCCCAGATGAGTCCCACCTACAAATGGCCATGAGCCATGAAAGCATGTTGAGGGACCTCAGCGAGCACCAGGAGGTGTCTTCCATCCTCAGCCTCAGCAGCACCAGCAGCCTCCCCACGCACACGCCCCACTGCGGGGACGCTGCCACACCCCGGACTAGCTCCAGCATTAGCGTCTGCTCCTCTGGCAACTTGGTGGGCAATGATGACTCTTTCTGCAGCCTGCCCTCTCCCAAGGAACTGTCCAGCTTCAGCTTTAGCATGAAAGGCCATGAGAAAAACGCCAAGTCCAAGACACGCAGTCTGCTGAAACGGATGGAGAGCTTAAAGCTCAAGGGCTCCCACCACAGCAAGCACAAAGCGCCTTCAAAGCTGGGGCTGATCATCAGCGGGCCCGTCCTGCAGGAGGGCATGGACGAGGAGAAGCTGAAGCAGCTGAACTGCGTGGAGATCTCTGCCCTCAATGGCAACCACATCAACGTCCCCATGGTACGAAAGAGGAGCGTTTCCAACTCCACGCAGACCAGCAGTAGCAGCAGCCAGTCTGAGACCAGCAGCGTGGTCAGCACGCCCAGCCCTGTCACCAGGACCCGGAGCCTCAGCACCTGCAACAAGCGGGTGGGCATGTATTTAGAGGGCTTTGATCCTTTCAATCAGTCGACGTTTAACAACGTGATGGAACAGAACTTTAAAAACCGTGAGAGCTACCCAGAGGACACAGTGTTCTACATCCCTGAAGATCACAAGCCCGGCACCTTCCCCAAGGCCCTCTCCAATGGCAGTTTCTCCCCCTCAGGGACAAACAGCTCTGTGAACTGGAGGACTGGAAGCTTCCATGGCCCCGGCCACATCAGCCTACGGAGAGAAAACAGCAGCGACAGCCCTAAGGAACTGAAGAGACGCAATTCCTCGAGCTCCCTGAGCAGCCGCCTGAGCATCTACGATAACGTGCCGGGCTCCATTCTCTATTCCAGTTCAGGTGACCTTGTTGACCTGGAGCAGGAGGACATCTTCCCTGAGCTGGATGACATCCTCTACCACGTGAAGGGGATGCAGCGGATAGTCAACCAGTGGTCAGAGAAGTTCTCAGATGAGGGAGACTCTGACTCGGCCCTGGACTCAGTCTCTCCTTGCCCGTCCTCTCCAAAACAGATACACCTGGACGTGGACCACGATCGGACCACCCCCAGTGACCTGGACAGCACAGGAAACTCCCTGAATGAACCCGAAGAGCCCTCCGACATCCCGGAACGCAGGGATTCCGGGGTTGGGGCTTCCCTGACCAGGTCCAACAGGTGAGGGGTCTCCTTCTTCCAGCCTGGGGAGGAGGGACTGCTGCTTACTCCGCAGGACGAAATGGGACTGAGTCTGGCATTCGTGGCCATGTAAATTCCCACGGAAAGTGTCAGATCAGGAAACCCCAACGTTAAAAAATGAATGGATTGTGTTTAGTGGGTATGTTTCAGTTGGGGTAGATGAAAAAGTTCTGGAGATGGATGGTGGTGACGGTCACAACAGTGTGAATGTGCTTCCTGCCACTGAACTATACACTTAACAACCTTAAAAACGGTTAATGTGGTAAATTTTATGTTATGTGTATTTTACCGCATGGGAAAAAAACAAAGAACAGAAAGGAAATTGAGTCCTCTCAGTTCCTAAGATAAGATGCCAGCAAGCAGCCCGTGGCTGGTTTTGCATCGACCTCTTGAAAAGCCATCACGCTTCCTCACTGTCCGCTGCTCTTCTCTTGCAGACACAGACTGAGGTGGCACAGTTTCCAGAGCTCTCATCGGCCAAGTTTAAACTCTGTATCGCTGCAGATTAACTGCCAGTCTGTGGCGCAGATGAATCTGCTGCAGAAATACTCGCTCCTGAAGTTAACGGCCCTGCTGGAGAAGTACACGCCTTCTAACAAGCATGGTTTCAGCTGGTAAGAGTTTAAGCATATGACGGTTCTGTCCTTTGTTAATGTCTTCAGTCAATCATCCAGTGCAAAGTTTCTGTATTCTTGAGGCCACATTTGAGACTACTTAAGCCACCACAGTTGTAGAGTTATCAGCAGGCTTGGCTGATTGAGTTTTCAGCTCTCTTGGTGACAAATTGTCAATTAGTGGGGGTGACATCTTACATCACATGGTATGGGTGCCTCCTATATTTACCACTATAGGTAAATATATATGCAGTATCAGATCGTATTCATGGAAAGAAGGAAAGAAAAATGTTAAGATGTTCTGAGACCGTCTTTGAAATGCTAGATGTACAGTACCTGTCTTTATAACACTATCCATGCATGTTTTTTTTTTTTTTTTTTTTTTTTTTTTTTTTTTTTTTTTGG